CATGACATTGGAGGTACGCGATGACGTAAGGCGATGTTCTAGACTTGCTGTTTACGACCCCCTAGAATGTTCGCTAATGACTGCGTGAAAAAGTTGACCGTGAGGTTAACGCCAAATACACGATTTCAAAGCAGTCGAACGGTGAACCTCCCCCCCCCCCCCCCCCACACACACACACACACAGTTCCTTTTTTTTTTTTATCAATGGCGATGTTGTTGACGTTATTTCTGATGGAAACTAAATAAAATTAATGCAACTTTTTAAGAGATTTAATAGACACACTGGATCAGATGGCTACTTTGAACAGAAATTTGCGCTTACAGCTTTCTGTGGACGCCCAACATTTGTCCGTCAGTATCCTTATCTGCTAACGCCGCACCGTCCTGTCGTTGGCTGCGAAGCGCTAATAAGAAGCTCGCAATTCCTCACGCTCAGCTTTTCTGGAGCTCTCAGTAACCATATATATACTATTAGTGAAAAGACGGTAAGAGTGCAGGCGAGCTGGTGGTAGCTAATCATGTCGTATTACACCTGAGACTGCGGTGGAAGAAATCGGAAGAACTTTCAGTAGAAGGAACAGACACAGAGAACGTCTCAAACTTGAGACGTTCTCTGTGTCTGTTCCTTCTACTGAAAGTTCTTCCGATTTCTTCCACCGCAGTCTCAGGTGTAATACGACATGATCATATATATACGTTCAGGTCGTTTTCTTTATGCCGCGGCAAGGAATGCGGCTTTGCAATATGTTTGCGATTCGGCACCTCCAATTTGATAACGCGGCCAACATCCACATTTTTTAGTTTTCTTTTTCTTTTTCTTTTGGAGGGGGGGGGGGAGGGGGGGGGGGGGGCGGAGGGGGTCGTGCGCCTAGTGTAACAAACTAGTGACATTAACATTATCACAGGTGCAATTATTACGGTCATCTCTACTACGCCCTGGTCTCAATGATAATTTTGCTCGTTAGCAAGATACGCTCCCAACATTCGTTTCACAGGTTTAAGGCCGCGTCAACCCGCCAGAAACATCGCTAGTTGAGTAGGCGTTCATGAGGGTCGATTTTAAGGCATGCCATTAAAATATATATAAGACTGTTTTTTTCTTTTTTGAACGACACGACTTGGTCTTTTCTTTTTTCGGTCTTGGATGACCACCTGTCTGTGCTTCCTGTTGTACAGTCGATGATAGTTACAGTGATAGCGACAGTCTCCCAACCACTATAAAACACTCACTATACTTCGTTTCAACTTATGTCCGAGCGCAAACGATGTTATGAGCCAAAGGGCCAATCAAACAGGGCAAAAAGCGCAACGTCATTGCGTGCTTTCTGCGCTTGATCGGACTAGCCGGCGGGTGAGCACGCACAGAGAGACGGTGAATACCGGATAGTCCTATCGACTGCAGCGAAAGAGGCACGACGCCATGACGTTGTGCCTCTTTCGCTGTTTCATTGGCCCTCCGGCTCATAACATCGGACGCGCTCGGACCGAAGCTGAAACGAAGTATAGACGAGGCACTTTCAGGCTGCTACACTTTAAGAATTCTGGAGCATCGCCTTTCCCGCAAATCCCGCGATGGAGCCAATCACCGCAGTCCACGGAGGCAGGTCGTCGAATGACATGGTTAACTATTTATGAAGACCCAAACGAGAAAACACACACACACACACACACACACACACACACACACACACACACACACACGCACACGCACACACACTCACACACACACACACACACACACACACACACACACACACACACACGCGCACACACACACACACACACACACAGTCTGCGCTATGACATCAAACATGACGTTTAACTATGACCTGCTGCCACGGCTCAGCAGACTGGTTTTCTTAGGTCCAAACATATCGGCCTTGTCATTAATCGAGCTTTCTCGGTAGAATGCAGCGTCTCTCGTGTGCTCTGTGGAAAAGGATACAGGCTGTTTTCGAGCGCTATTCAGGCGTAAAAAAAAAATAGAAAAGAAAGAATTCGTATAAATAAGTTAGTAAACGGTGTGCATTGAAACTTTCCACGAAGGTATCTTTAGGTGGTGAATTTATCGTCCTCAATGTTTTGATGTAAGTCATAAGAAAGAAAGAAAAAAAACAAAAAAAAAACATGTTTAGAAAAAAGCGGCAAAAAAAAAAAAAAGAAACAACTTCTGGTTGACGTTGTTACTCACAAACGGCGCAAAATAAAGCGATAAAAGTCTCTCTTTTTTTTTTTTTTAGATGAATACCCGGAAGGAGATTTAGTAGATTTGAGCTTCTGCCAAGGAAAAAAAAAAAAAAAAAAAAGGTTGTTAAAGGGACACTGACAGGGTATTTATGCTCGCCAAGGTTTTTAGCTCTACATTATATATGAGTACCCAACTACACAGAACAGAATTTGCGGCTCGAAATTCGGTTTCTTTCCACCCGAAAACCGCCGATCAAGAACTGGCCGGTTTGAGTCGCGCTCACTCTCTTTTCCGTAATCACGGGCCGTTTTCTAAGGTTTAGACACAAGCACCAAATTTAATCAAAGTCGTGGGTCATTGAAGGCACGCACACATTATTAAAAATAGAAAAGAAATATGATACCCATTTCTTGTGGCTTCACCAAGGCTGTAAATACATTGTATGGGGGAACAAAAGTTTCTCGGCCACGTGACTTCCGCCACCTCTCTTTTCCTTTATATTTCTTCTTCCTCACCAGTCCAGTTTCGGTTTCGGTTTTGAGCAGTTGCGTTTTTTTACTTTATTAATAATATACGTGACGCTGTAGCAAAATGTTGATTGGATAGCCTTCTGAAACCGTAATAAATCGCCTGGCCAAAAGAAACAAAAATTATTTGGGGGGGTGTCAGTGTCCCTTTAAGGTTCAATTTCTTTTTTTTTTTCCACTGTTACTAACATTAATGAAATTTGTGTACGATAAATGCACTACTATAAAGACACCTTTGTGAAACGTTATAATGCACTCCGTTCATTGGTTAATTTGTACGAAAATAATTTGGCCCGAACAGCCCTCGTGAACAACGTAGATGCTATAATTGTAATAAACCCCATAATGGTAAAAAAAAAAAAAAAGAGAAGGGCGACGGAAAAATAATGTCTAAGATTTGTTTAGGGTGTGTGCTGGATTCGCTTTTGAAAGTGTCCCATTGCATGGGGTGAATTAAACGAACCTTAATTCCGTTCTCTCACTTAAAATAGAGTGTCTCCGGTCAAAGCGTGCTTCGCACCGTCACCTAAACTGCCTTTGCGAACGGGTTTTCCTTTTATATTGTGGGAGACTGTATACACACTGGTCGCCACGTGCCTATGTAGACCAGTACGTCTTTGCTTGTTCGTGGTCACGCGTAGCTTGGTGGTGTCATGGGGCACCCCGAGCGGGGAACTTCCCCGACGCCTTTTCCGGTACGGCACGTGTCCCGGCTATTTTGAGGAACCGTCGATCGCGTATACCGACCTTGGTGTGGTAAACCGGTAACTATTCTTTTTTTCCATACGTGTCAGGTTGAACTCCTCCTTTAGTTAATCACGAGCATTCTTGCGAAAATCGGTTAATCGGAACGAACATTTTATAGGCACTCGGGTTCAGAAATCAGTATAGCTTCCGGATCATGTCGTTATGTATAAGTCGGACATTTGCGGGAGTCTCATGAAAGTTCCTCCAAAGAGGCCCACGAAAAGAGTTTTAGATCATATTGTAATACATGTATTCGGTAATACTGTTTCTGGACTAACTTGTTTTGACTGTTTATTCATCTTTTAGACAAATAATAAGGATGAAAACGGGATTTCTAAGATCCATGTCAATATATCTAATCGATATAGGGTACATATAAAGCTATGGATATTCAAAAGCTAAGGCAGTATTAGCAGTCGTGACCAATAAGCATCATTTTTATTACCAGCGTTAGTTACGTTTTCCTCGATTTGACAGTTTAGTAAAGGGGCAATTTTAGAAAAACAACCAGCTCGTGTTTGAAGCCTCTCTGGGGTTGTAAGGTTGAACCTAGCTATTTAGTTCTGCACCTCATAATGAGTGCTATTTGGCTCGCATATACGAGAGAGAAGAAATGGTCACTAGGGGTAAATGTAAACTTCTCAATAATTCATCATCCTAGAATAGTTGCTTCTTATACTGGCGACCATACTGCAGATCGTCGAAGATAATTACACTCATTTACTTTTTTAAACACGTAGCGACAGATATTGTTCCTACTTTCTCAACGCCTTACTTTTGTTCCTTGCATACACTTATCCCGTTCACATCGCACACGTCATGGCCGTTTGACACGACGACGCCAGAATGAAGTACTTGCGGTTACGTAAATCAAGAAACAATTTCATGCAAATCGCAATACTGCCCAGTAAGATGGTCAGCATCTTGACATTGTCAAGTTACAACTTCCGCTGGCGGTACCACGATCTCGTTCGTTTTGGCAACTTTTCGGGGATAGCGTTACCGTTGCGGTTACAAAAAAGTAAAGCGTTACGGTTACAAGTTTCCAAAAAAGTTACTAGTAAAGTTACGAAAAAGTTAATAGTAACGCGTTACTATTCACTATCTACTGACCAAGACTAATGGTATCCTGACCTCGCACATTTTTTTTTTTTAGGCAACTCTTTGCAGCACCGTTTTATTGCTCTACTTGCCCAACCACAGACCTTTCCACAAATAAATATTCTTTTTTTCTTATTTTTTTTCTCGGATATGGAAGAACATATTCTGTTCCCTTTTCGGAAAGCTGGATAGCAGACGCCGGATCACACACACACCCCGTTTCAATGTCGTCGCCGTCACAGGTTGCCATTTCCCTTTCGCCTACTACTTTCTCTCCTTCCTTCAGCGCGCATTACTCCCCTCTCCTCCGGCCAGCAGCCCGCTACTACAACTCTCTCCGCTCCCCTTTGCTCTTTTTCATACGCCGCTAACCTTAACCCTGAAAAAGCCGACGCGCCTTGTCTCTCGCCCCTTCCTCCCCCCCTTTCACGGATCAGGACGGGATAACGGCCCACCGGAGAGGAGGAGAAGGGGAGGTTAGCGGAGAGGAGAGGGCGAGAGGCGCCCTCCCCGACAAAGACGTCGTCGTCGACGACGTCCAGGTAGCTATCCGGCTACACCAAGGGTGCCCTCTCCCTCGCACCCTTCCCTTCCGGCCCTCCAGTCTTTCCGGCTGGGAAGACCCCTTTCAGCCGAGGCGCCCTTACAACAACAAGCAGAGCCGCCCCTGCGAACACAGCAGTCCGACTCCGAGAGCAGAGGTGGACAGTTCCTTCTGCCCATGAGTTCGGCCTGGTACCCGTGTGGACAGGACAGTGAGTGCAGCGGCCCGCCGTCTTCGGCAAAGTCTTGACCACATCATCTGCATCCAGCGACTCGGAGGAAAGGAGAAGCCGCATCGTATTCCGCGTGTTTCCAGGATCAAGCTCTTCCGTCGTCATCTTCTCTCCTCTGTGCCATTCTTCGGCGATTTCGGAGGCGGCGGCAGTGAACTGCGGAACCGCAGCAGCTAGTTTGTTCGGGATCCACGACGTGCCTCCGCAAACTTAGGCCGCAGGGTCTTCTAGTGAAACCAAATCGACTCCTGCCAAGATGTATCTCAGGTGTAAGTACTCCTTGTTTTTTCTCTTAAGTTTTTGTTTTGTTTTTTCATTATGTGTTCATTTGCTCTTCTAAGCTTGAGGAATTTGGTTACTCAGTTATGTTGTAATTTTTTGTTTGCCTTTGTTTTTTTTATCTGTGTTAGCTTTCACTTTTTCCCGGACATTTCCATAGCAGGAAGAATGATATCGGTTAGGAACCAGACTTAGAAGTTTTTTAGGTCGGTGAAATTTAGGAAGAATTTCCTTTACCATTGATTTATAGGATAGCCTTTAAAGTATAGACTTGTCGGATTCTCTTCTAGTTTCTTTTTTTTTTAATTTTATTTTCAGACTATATTTTTTTATTATTTTAAAGAAATCAAATCATAGCCTGAAAATGTTTATAGGGTGGTGTTAACCTTGTGATGTAGAAAACGTAAAAAATAATCCTAAATACCGTCTGATCAATTCGAAGAAGCTTTTAAGTTCCTTAATCTGTCTCATTGTCACTTCTTTTTGTTTTTTTTCTTCGGAACTCGTTTCCGAAGCGGGGGATATTTATCCTCGGAGCGTAACTCCACCAAGTGCCATTTTCAGGGTCTCAACAAATTTTCCCACCATTTGTTAGTTATTTTCCACAGAGCAACCTCCTATCGTCGACTGCTTTGGAATGCGCGGCACCCGAGCGCCACCCAATAGGAATTACAAAGTGTTAATACAGCAGCGCCTTATCAGCAAGATCGGCGGTCTCCCCTTATACCGCTGCTTCAACGTTACCGCGTCTCCGAGAAAGAATGCTAAACATCCAACAGGATGCGAACCCTATCCCCTACTCACGGCGCCCGGCGCAACGTGTGAACGTGCGCGTATAAAGACCGCGTTGCTGATCACTTCATTTTTCTCCGTTCCTTATACCTACCACCGCGTAATGAATCACTCGTGTTATACACGAAGTAAATACGAAGCGCGTGGAGCTTGTCTTCCGAAGGAGAAGCGCTATCAATTTACTGGAAACATTTCAACCTGCTTGCACTTCCAAGAAGATAAATCACCGTGGAAAATCAGACAATTCATCTTTCGATATTCACGATGGAGAGACTCTCGCCACCCCCGCGTGACGGATACGGGTAGACCTCGTCGGAACATCGGGGTTCTTCTTCTCCTCCTTTGCTACTTAAGGTTAAGTCTCTTTCCTTTTTCTACCGATCCAGACTCTTAGGCGACTCGCTGGAGTAAGCACCGGTTAGCTTGTCGACCTCGTGCTCCGAACGCAGGCCCATTCCCATAGAGTTGCGAGATGCGACTGCGAGCTACTGGGGCAATCGCGCTTCGTGTCAAGCGTGGCAACCGATTCAAGGACAAGTTTGGCACTTGACATACAATCACCGAAGTCCCCGGGCAGTTCGCTGTCGTATGATACCACAACGTAAAAAAAAAAAAATAAAAAAAAAGTTTAAGGGATTTTTGTGTGAATGAACTTGATGACGATCCGTCACCGTTTACCTATTTCAATAATCCGAAGCACTGCTAAAAAAGAAAATTAAAATTTTTTTATATACGTTCTAATCGATGTCTGACAATGTCAAGAGTCGCACTGAAGGCCGGAATGGAGTGAGAAAATAAAAAGGAAAAAAAAAAAAAAGCTAATGCAGACTAGGTGCTGGGAGTCACCGAGGAGCCGGATAAACTGGACGCTCTCGCAACGATCGTCTTGAGCCAACCAACTTTCCTCCGAAGCAGACGTCCGTGAACGACTCCGTTTCGAATCGAGAGACCGTCGATGCCAATCTCGGGCTGCTCTATGCGCGGCAGCACTAGGTTGGTGGCATGACGCCCGTATAGTATCCTCTATGGACGCCACCGAAACTCGGCGACCGACTGGAACACGCCACTGCGCATTCGTAACGAGACGGGTTCGCATCACGCTGCGTCCACGAGAACATTCGAGCCCAGCGCCGCTTGCAGCGCTATTCTCAAAGGTCACGTGACAGGAGGATATCGTTGGATTGGCTTGGATGGCCCGTACCATCCGCCGCGGTCCGTACAGTAAGGTGGAGTCGAGTGCACGCAACGCGATTACCTCCTCAGCCGGGAGTAAAATAAATCTTCGTTTTATTTTTTTTCGCGCCGCGCGTTTTTAGCGAGGAAGGAAGTACTGCGGTGTTTCTGATCTATCGTGTCGTCTTCGATGTCTGTTTTGTTGAATGGAACGGGAGGTCCAGGTTTTGACGGCCTTGACGGTCAAGGCAGACGCCGTTGAACCGTGCTTCTTTTTGATAGGCTTTTTTTTTTTTTATCTTCGAGGATAACGGTTTTGTAAGAGTTGGCTAGTAATACGAGATACTAGAAAAGAAAAAAAAAAAGAAGAAGCGCGGGGATTCCTCCGCGCACGTAAGCTGGACTGGAATCCACACATGAGGTGATCCAATGGAAAAACGGGAAAAACATAAAATAAAATGATATCGCCAGTTTGGTTTAACTTTCCGTAATATGCATAGCTTTCTCTCACGGCGAAATAAGAGAAGGATTGAATTGGCGTGCATTTAAGTTTTTAAGTGCTCGTCGCACGATTCTCACTTTGTCGCCGTCACGAAAGGAAGCCAGCTTTCGGGTAGGTCGTGATGGGCTCTCTACTCCGTGCGATTTTCTTTTGACCAGGAAACAATCTACATCTTTTAAAGGACACCTGGGGTTTCCCTTTCTTGCAGAACACGGAGGCAGCCAATTACAGCGAACAATAGAAAAGTCCCAGCCAATGACAAAATGCACACAATATATAAATCTTTATAGTATATATATATATATAAAAGCAAGTTGTTTTTAGACACGTCGCATTTTTTATATAATTGCATTTCGAGTTCTGCAATTCACTGGAACCCTTTCGTAATTCGCTATGATTGGCTGTCATTGTGTTTCGTGTAGTCTAATGGTTCAAGCTTTGAATTCCACTCTAACATTTCCTTATCGTCTTTCTTTCTCTCTTTGTGCTAAAAGGGCAATTACTACCCAGATTGTACAATATTATTGTAACTGAACAGTGGTTCCAGTGCATAGATGTCTGCAAGCAGCCACGCTTCAAAAACTAGTCTGGCCACCGTGAGTGGAAAGAGCTTTCTTGGGGCGCCAGCCTGGCAACGATGGGCAAACCTTAGCGAGGCTACACTACCAGGCGTTCTGCACGCTCCAGAAGGAAGATGGCGGCGCACAAGAGGCCGTGCTCGCAAACATCCATACGTTTGCAAGACGGCCTTTGGGCGCCGCCATCTTACAGTTAGTGAGTGTAGATCGTCTGGTAGCCTAGTCTTGCCAAGGCGTGCCTATGGTTGCCAAGCTGGCACCCGAACAAAACATGTTTCGTTTCATCCACGGTGGCCAGACCAGTTCACGAAGCGTGGCTTAGAGATGGCATTGGAATAAGTAAACAGAAAGGGCTTTCCATCTTCCAACATTCCTTCAACTCAGCTCCCCGTCTTTTTTTGACATTTGGTTCCGAAAAGCTTTGAGCGATAACAATACGCATAACCCAAAAAGGCACCCCCTGTGGGTCTTCACCGCTCCGTAAAACTGTTTTTTCCTTTGAGCCTTTCAAAATGGGGGAAGTCGGAAGACGCCGTTTTTATGAAAGGTGAAGCTGGTTGGAAGGCGGTGGCCGGTTTCGGAAGCGAAGACGACCGACGACACTGCTGCTTCGTTCCTCCTCATTCTTATCCGAGCCGGGCTTCTTCCGGGCCGACCAGAAGGCTCCCAACCTTGGCGGTCTCCAGTCAAGGTGGCTAGCGGCGAGACACCGCTGCTGCCCCCCACCGACTGTCTCTTTTTATTTCTCTCCCTGTTGCGCTTCGAGACGCGAGGACGGGGAAGCGGGGCTTTTAACGGTCACGGGCACGTGAGCCGCTGCCTTCACCCGCTTTTTCGAACCGGCGCGTTCTCTCTGGGCGTCAGCCCGCTCGCCCGCGGAGGAGACGGTTGCCTCTCTTTCTCGCTCCTCTGAGGAAAGACTTGAAAAAAAGAAATAGTCTGACAACAATGCGTGACGTTTGCTTGGGCTTTGGCGGCTCGTCGTCGTCAGTGGCGTCGACGGGGGTTGTGCCGGCGAAGAATTTTAAGCCCCTCTTTGGCTCAGCAGCTACGCGCGTGAAACCTGTTGGCGCTCTAAGGGGGGATTACTGTGTTGGAACGCCCGCAGTTTCCCAATTGTCCAATCAGTTTTCTTGTATTTCTTATTGTTTGGTTCTGTTTAGTTATAGCCTAAACAGGAAACCAAGATTTTTTTTTTTCGCGTTAAATTACTGGAAGATTGCAGTACCCGAGCATGCGCTGAATATACAGATTTCCCAAAACTGAGTGCAGTAGCTGTGATTAGGTTGCATCGGGAAAACACCAAATTAAGGTATTACTAGGCTAGGTAGCTCCTATACCATATGGTAGTTATTTCATTTTTTTTTTCAACCTGACCGATAACGTATGGTTAGGACTAGGGTACCTCAATCTCCATCTGTTTAGGGTAATTACGTTCTTCGTAGCACCCAATGCCGTCAGCGCGTGCTCACAGGGGAAATACAAATAAATAATCGGTAACAAAATGCCGCTGTAGCGGAGTGAACATCATAAGCTGGAGCCGTGAAGCGCACTTTCACGCAATCATAAAAAAAGAGAAAAAAAACAAAACAAGGGTTGAGCAGAAAATGGTAAGATAATATCACCCTAAGCAAAGGCCACATTCGAACACCCTAGTTAGAACAAACACAAAAAGGTGGTCGAAAATAATTGAATGAAATGAAATAAAAGACATAAGCCCCACAGTGGTAGTCGCTCTTTCGCAAAGAGACTTAGCTTCCTCAGAGTTAGCAATGAAGAAGCGAAACTTCGGTTGCATTTACGACACTTCTAGGTGCTTCTTTTTTTTTTAACGCGTAGAAAAGTTTAGTAAGAGACACTGGCAGGACAAACTAAAAATCTGTGGTGAGGCGGTGGGTTTACACCAGCGAGACCCGCGCAGCTTGCTGATAAACATCTACACCAA